TTTCATGCCATATGTTCCTCTTACCTCATGCCTTGGGATACAATCAGGCTATTTTAAATTTGAATGAAAAGAAAATAATGAACTATCGAAGAATCACTTTTAATTCAACCCTGTGGCTTAATGTGATTATCTTAGTCAATTTTGTGCTTCTATAACAGAATGCCTGAGACTGGGTAATAAATAAAGAACAGAGATTTATTAACGTTCTGGAGGCTGGGAAGTCTAAGGCCCAGGGTCCTGAACCTTCTTGCCACATCATAACGTGGCTGAAGATATCACATGGTGAGACAGAGCAAGAGAGGGCCAAAGTCACTTCTATAACAAACCCCTCCCATGATAATGACATCGATCCAGTGCGGACCCAAGCACCAGTTAAAGGTTCTATCTCTCAACACTGTTGTGTTGGGATGAAGCTTCCAACAGTCAAATTTTGAGGGATACATTTATACCATGGCAGTGACTTTCAGCAAATTCTCTCACCCTACTCCAAGCCTCAGATTTCTCATCTGCAAAATGGGGATATGACTTCCAAAGTTGTGAGGAATGTCTGAGATAGTGTAAGTTCAACTAGTAAACACGCAACAAATGTTAGCTATTATTCTTATTATAGATTCTCTCCACTCTCTCTACATTAAATTCTTGGTTGATAGGTATAAATAACTACTGGTAGCCTTAGGGCTGGTTTAATTAAATAAGCCAGAAGGTCCAAGTGGGAGCATCTAGTTCAGAAGTTTTCCAGAGTCTCACCACATGGATACTAGGTGAGAGAGCATGACTGGTGCTATGTACACAAGGTTTCCTCATGCCTTAGAGACTGCAACCCACAGGGATTCAGACTGTGGGAACATAACAGCTCAGAGTAAGCTTGGCCTAGATCTTGTGACATGACAGGGTGGGTGGCAAGAGCTGGAGGCTGTTTGTTGTCTATTTTCCTCTTTGATTTTGGACGTGTTCTACAAAGATGATCTGCTAAAAGTCGACCTTGTAATTATTGAAGCCTAAAGCAAAGTGGACCCAGACTGGTAGGCTGAGAAAAACCAACCATGAACCATACAATGAGCCCCCAACTTTCCCCTGAAAGTAGCGGAAGGGTTTGACCAGATGTTTGCTGGCTTGGTGGATCTTTCATTAATGCTGAGGATAAGCCTTAGACACCAGCTCTGCTTGAACTTGGCCAGGTGTCCTAGCTGCTCACAACCCTGAGAGTAGCATGTCACATGACATAAGATTAGGGGGCTTTTGACACAGGCAATCTGTTCTGCTTATCTAGGAAAGGCCAGCTATGGAAAGGTGTGGAGTCCCTAAGACTTGTCTAGACCAGGGCCTGGGGCCAGCCAGTGAGTGATGTGAATCAGAGATGCTGAGGCAACTGCCAGCTGGAATTTTGCTTCTCTAGTTAGGCTAGGATTTAGCAAAACACTTGCATTCTGATCCTTTGAAGAAGGCACTCAATTGATTTAGGATTAACTGAGGGATTTTTTAATCTAATTTAAAAATATGACATCATTTAATTATAAAATATATTACATGTGCCACTTGTTAAATGAAAGTTAAATTTGTCTTATTTATTGATTTTTTTTAAAGTGTGTGCTTCACATTATAAGAGTGTAGAGATTAAGTGGCTGCATACTTCTGTAGCATTGGTATTTAATTCTTATTTCTTAAACTAACAAGTGGACACATTTCAGGTTGTCTTCTGGGGAGACTAAGAAGTTATATTAGATTCAAGCTCCTTCCTTATTTTGTTGACAGAGGGTTTCCATTTCTCTGCTGACTTCAGGATTAAGTTTGCCTTCCTTTCTTTTCTTTTCTTTTCTGCCTTCTACTTTTGATTGCCTGGCTGTCGCTTCCATAAGTTGTCTGGTTTTCTGGTTGTTGCTATAGACTTAGTTTAGGCCAATGTCAGATATTCCTGTTGGTTCTGAGTTGATGTTTTCTGATACCACTTCTAACACTGAATTTCTGGTTTTTTTTTCCTGCCATATCATCAGTTCTTTGATACAAACTGGATGCCTGATGATTCAATTCAATTTTGATATTAATACCATAAGTTAGCAGAGACCTCACAGGTCCAAGGACTGCCTCATAGGACTGCCTCCACTTCAGATGCCTATCACATATGAGGCCCAGGCAACTTACAGCTGAGGCCCAGGCAACTTACAGCTGTGTTCCAGGTGACCCACACTTGTGTTCTGCCCACACAAATTCAGTTTTCAATGATCCCTCCTCAGGTTTGACAGTTATCTAGAACTACTCACAGAACTCAGAAAAACACTTTACTTGTGTTTACCGGTTTATTTATTTTTGTTTTGTTTTGTTTTGAGGCAGGGTATCACTATGTAGCCCAGATTGGTGTCAAACTCCTGATTCTCCTGCCTGAGCCTCCTTAGTGCTGGGACTGCAGGCATGCTCAGCTGTTTAATGATTTATTGTAAAGGCTACAACTCAGAAATGGCCACATGGAAGGTATGGGGGGCACAGAGCTTCCCTGCTTTCTCTGCACATGATAACCGTCCAGCACCTCTGTGTGTTCACCAACCTGGCAACTCTTCAAAACTCATTCATCATTCCAGAATTTTAATAGACTTCAGTCTAGAGCTCCCTTCCTTCATGGCTGGGGTTCAAAGTTCCAACCCCATCTGCTCACAATCATGGGTTTGTCTTTTCTGGTGACCAGCCCCATCCTGACCCCAGGGGTCCCACTCTGAGTCACCTTAATAGCATTAGGCCAGAAAATTTTAAGGGAGTTCTGTGTTAGGAATGGGGAATAAAGACCAGGTGCAGTTTTGTTATATTGTAGTTATAATACGGGGTTTAAAAATTGTGATTATGCATTATTGCCCTGTGCAGCTCCTTATCTTCACCATTGTCTCATGCCCTACCTTCTCCACAAACAATGTTAGATTATGGTCCTTGGTTTTCTGATCTGGTTTCAGGTGATATTATGCTGTTAGAATGGGAGAGTTATTGAGATTTTGGGGTGTTTTGAAACTTGGGATGTTTCCTCTAATGCATTTGTGGTTTTGAAATAGTTGTTTATAGTTCAAAAGTGAAAATGACTGCGAAGGCTGGGATATCTGCTTTATAGTTGAAATAAAGCTGATAAAACTGGCTCAGAAGACTTTGTGTTTACGAAGACTAGTCCAGAAACAGTCTACTAGTGACCACTGAAATAAGACAGAGCTAGTCTTCTTGGCTGAGTGAGGGAAATATTTGCGCAAGTTTCCAAAGAATGAGGTCAAATAACCTCCATTTGTAGCTAGAGTGACTGCAAACCAGAAACTAAACCAGGCCTCCTCCTAGGTTGCCTTTGTTTCAAACAAAACAGAACTCTTTCCGTGGGGCTAAAAGGACCATTGAAAAACAGTTTCACCTTTCTGTAAAGTGAGGAGTTTTTCTGTGATTCTGTCATTCTGTGCACATGGAGAAGGAAAGCCAGGATGTGATGTATTCACCATGAAGCAATATGCTTCTTGGTGATTCCCTCCTCTCTTCACTTCAAAAAAATCTATTTGAATAATTTTTAAAATTTAAAGAACACTTGACAAAAGTATATATAAAATACAAAGATGAAGAAAATCATTCATAGTTATTTCACAACTATTGCTAATATTTAGTATCATGAAAAGTAGTTTTTGTTTTCTGAGAAGTTGTAGAAAATACTCTAGTTTTTCTTTCCCATTTATCATTATCATGCAAGCATTCCATCACAGTGACAAAATACCTGAGATAATCAATTTAAAGGAGGAAGGGATTACTTTGGCTCACAGTATCAGAGGTTTCAGTCCAAAGTTGCTTGGCCCTGTCACTTTGGGCCTGTGGTGAGGCAGAACCTCATGGCAGGAGAGCTTGGCAAGGGAGGCCTGTTCACCTCATGGTGTGTGGGAAGCAAAGACAGAGGGGCCAGGTACTAATATCCCCTTCAAGGATCTATTCTCAGTGACTTAATTTCCTCCAGCAAGGCCTTCCTTCCTAAAGCCTTCACCACCTCCTAACATCATCATAGGCTGGGGACCAAGCATTCAGCACATGGGCCACTGGAGATCCAAATAAAATCCAAATGATAACATTGTTGATACATAATTGCTCTGAAGTTCACAGAAATAGTGTAGTGCAGTGGTTTAAAGAAGGGGCTTTGATACCAGAGAGCCTGGGTTCAGATCACAGTCTGTCACTTATGACATTTAGGTCACTTTGACCTTCAGAGTCACTGAAATGTTATCTGCCTCAGTTTTGTCATATCATACTTGAATATATCTAGAAGGGTCGGATTGATTTTAGTTTTGCAGTATAATGTATGAGCTGCCCCACTTTCTATCGGCCTCCAAATGCTCCCCCTCTTTTCACTCCCCTGCTCCAGCTCTGGGTCACTTCTCAGATCTGAAATACATGACATCAGGGGCACCAAAACTCTGAGTAGAGTTAATCCTAATTAAAACTGGCACTCTTTGTTCCTCTTTCTCACACAGCATCGTTTTTCCTGTCTCCAGGGCCTTTCTTCCTTTCATAGCTCCCTTCCTTCTCAGCGTTCTCTGATCGCCACCAGGAGGGAAGATGATATAATTAAGTCATGTCTGTTAAGAAGTTAGTGACCTTAGCAGCTAGAAACATTACTCCCTGATGGGGTATTTGCATTTTAATAAAGGGTTCTAGGAGCAGTGTGAACCCACAGAACTGAACATGACAGGAATATTTGAGGCAGTATGGTGCCCACAGAGAGTGAGGTGTTGAGTATGAGCCCTCAAGTCACACACCTCTGTAGTGTCCTCGATATAAGGCCAGGGTTATGGATGGGGAAGCAAAGGCCAGCCTCTGAGAAACCTCAATTTCCTCTCTGCTGAAGCACCAATTACTCAGAGTAGAAACACCTTTTCCTAAAGGTAAAGTGTGCCTCTCGGAGGAACTATTACAGAGAAACTGTTTACTGTATTGGATTAATAAAGGGCTGGTCAGCAGCATGTGCAGATTCTTTACATAAAATATAACTTTATGATATCAGGTAGGGCTCCTTTTATGGCTTTGCTTTAATCATCTGGTTGAAATTGCTCAAGGTGTGGAAGGCCTTTGCTTGTGTGTCTGTCTGTCGCAGTAATTTGATTAAATTGCTTGTCCCTGGACCAGTAGAGTCAGGGGACCTCTATGTGTATGTGGGGCAAAGCCCTGATTACCATGCTCAGAAAGGTCTCTTGCTGGACTATTGCTCTTTCAGCAAGATCACAGGTGCCCTTTACGGCAAGGATCATTACAGGGCTCATTTGTGGAATATACATCCATTTTAATGGCCCCAAAGCCAAAGAAATAGCTGGGTATGCCTGAGAGGAGAATGGGAGACAGCTGAACACAACCAAATGGTATTCTAAATTTTATAGTCGACAGGATGGGTAGAGACAAGTTATAAGGAGGATCACAAAGGGTGAGGGAGATCTCATTCAAACCCAGTCCTGGATGGCCTGAAAGTAGAAAGAAGGGGAGAAATAGAAAGCTTAGCCATTAGCCAGCCATCAGTCAAGTGCTCTCAGGAGAAGTTGGGACCCCAGTTAGATGGGAATGTGGTCTTGAGAGGAGATGGTAGGTACTAGCTGAAGTTGGTCAGACACCAGCCTTTCCTTCTTCTGGTTCCAGAGTGGTCTTTCCTTGACACTCATAGCCACATCTCTTCCTTTCTAGCCTGATCAAGACTGACGATGGCCCCACTGGTTGCCGTGGTGTCCAGTCCCCGTGCTCGGCTCTTTGCCTGCCTCCTCAGGCTAGGCACTCAGCAGGCTGGACCTCTCCAGCTGCACACAGGGGCCAGCTGCGCAGCCAAAAACCACTATGAGGTGCTGGTGCTGGGTGGGGGCAGCGGTGGGATCACCATGGCCACCCGCATGAAGAGGAAAGTGGGTGCAGAGAATGTGGCTATTGTTGAACCCAGTGAGGTAAGTGTGCCCTTTTGACTGAATACAGTTTTAGAGGGTAGGGGGCTAGTGTTAAGAAATAGGTTAGTGTTTAAGAAATAGCCCATTTGAAGGGCCTGAGAGAAAGTGGAGTGAGGGAAAGTAAGGATAGATCTCTTGGATTTTTGCATTTTTGTTTTACTTTCTTAAGGCTGCTGTAACAAATGTTTTAAAGCAGCAAACATGTATTCTGCTGCAGTTCTGGAGGGTTGGAGTCCCAAACCAAACTATCCACAGGCCCATGCTTCCTCTGAAGGCTGGATGGGGAAGGTGGGCTGGGGGACTTCATCCCATACTTTCCTCCTAAATTCTAGTGATTGGTGGCAATTCTTGGTACTCCTTGGCCATTGAAGTGATATCACTCCAGTCTCTGCCTCTGCCTTTACATGATGCTGTCTGTGTCTCTATGTCTTCAATGACATGATAGGACTCTTAAAAAAGCTGCCTGTGCTCAGGTTTTTGGCACCTTCCCTGCTGTGTCTGGTTTGGTGATTGCTGGAGCTAATTTTTGTGTTTTTGTTACTCTTCCTGTTGAAGATGAACTTGAAATTCATGAGCTCTTGTAGCTGGAGACCTCTGGCTTCCTTCCCTGATCATATCCATTATTGGTTATAGGGAGACTCAAATCATTGTTCTGCCTTCTTCACTTCCCTGTGAGTTTTGGCTACTCTGGCCAGCCAGTTTGGTAATATTGAGAGCTCTTGAATGAATCCCATGAGTGAATCCTCAGAATCCACTAAACCAATCTGCCCTTTGCTCCTGAGCTTAGAACTTTCACAACTAACTTAGATCAAAAGTGGACATCTGAAGTAAGTGAATTCCAGAAGTAGTGAAGGTTGGGACATGCATTGCATTGTAGGGTAGGATCTGGCACCTATTGGTCTGAAAAAGGGGAAGAGAGGCTAATAAGAAGTGTCTGCAGTTCTCCAAGGACTTGGGGAACACAGTTTGAAGCTAGTGAAGCTTTGAGGATCCCCAGAAGTAAACTTCCCACACTTACCATTGTCCCCACATACTTCTGAGGAACCATATATAGGGTTCTGTGATTGCTCTTCAGAATTTAACATACTAGGAGGCACCAACAGGGCGAACCTATCTTTTGAAGACTTTTCTGTGTGTGCTGTAAGGGTCATGAGGGAATCATTGAGAGACTCTATGTCACATACCTTTAACTGGGATCCTTTTATGTGGCCCAAATTGAAATAAATTCCCAAATACTTTGTTTCTCAGAGACATTTCTATCAGCCAATCTGGACACTGGTGGGAGCTGGTGCCAAACAGTTGTCCTCATCTGGTCGTCCCACAGCAAGTGTGATTCCATCTGGTGTAGAGTGGATCAAAGCCAGTGTGGTTGAGCTGAACCCAGAGAGGAATTGCATCCACACTGACAATGGCAAGCAGGTAACCATCAGGGATCTTTGGATTCTTTTTTTTTAAATCTTAGGGCTTGTATTAATGTATAGCCATGCTCAAACTGGATAGCTTCATAGTGAAAGGCGTACGTGCCTGTGTGTGCATGTATGTATGTGTTGACTATGGCAGAAGATAGCAAGAATAAAGAATAAGGAAGGCCTGAGTGATGTTGAATTAATAAATGAACAATTAAAGCAAAGATTTGTTGAACATTCGCTGTGTATCTTATTGATTAGTATAGGATCATGCACCTGAACATTTATTGAACAAATGCTATTGTTCCATGTTTGAATGGTGAACACTCTTTTTCTTTTCAAGCAGCCAGCTTTTCTACCTGACACCTGGCTTCCCAGAAGAATGGGGTGCTGGGAAATAGCCATCTCAATCACGCTAAGGGGATTTCTGCCAAAGCTGAAGGGGAATTCTGTCACTGAGGTTTGCTGCAGGACTAAGGAGAATTCTTATTGTCCGAGCTTGAGGCTCACAACTGCTTAGCTCCATCTAGAAGTCTTCTCCTACTGCTCACACAGGGGCCAAAGGTTTTCAGCAACTGCTGCCCCCAAATTTGACTGAGGGGCAGAGCAGGATGGTGAAACCAAAAGCTCAGGATCTAACTGCAGTTTTATGTCCCCTCATCTGTGGCTAAGCTCAGAATAGTGGCAGCCAGTCAGCCACTGTGCTCTTGCCTTGTTCCAGGATCCTGAGGACTTTCCCCCCTTCCCCCCAGGTATTATAAACCATCATACTCTCTCTTCCCCTTTTTCCCTCAGATAGGGGATTCACAGAATTGTAGAACTGAGAGATGTTGGGGATCTGAAAGGTTTTGTGAGTCCAACCCCTGACTCTGAGCAAGGCTACTTGCTTAGTTGGAGTAGCCTTTGCTACAGGCACTCTTAAGCTTTTCCTTGGGCCATAGATCTTTCGAGCACCTGATAAAAATCATCTCTAGAAAAAAACACACATATGCTAAATTATGCATTCAATTTCAACAAGTTCAGAAATTCCCTGGGTACTTGCCTTACAGTAGTCATGATCCTTGGCTCTCTGGTCTCCATTCATTCCACAAATATTAAGTACCCACTACAAGTGAGTACAGTTTTAGGCATTAGGGATACACAAGTAAACAGAAACAGACAAAATCCTTCGTTTCCTGGATTTTATACTCTAGCGGGGTGGGGGTGGGGGTGGGGGTGGGCATATGATAAATTAGATAAAGTAAGTCAATTATATAGTATGTTAGAATGTAATGTGTGTTAATTTAAAAAATAGAGTTGAGTAATGGAGACTGGAGTCTATGGGCCTTTAACCTAAAATGGGTTTACATAGTCCCCAGCCAAAGGGTTATCTGAAAACAAGTTAACCCTCTTCATTTCTTTTTAGACAGGCAGGTTCCAGGAAAGTTCTGCCTTTGCTGAGTAAGACTCCACCTTCCTGTAGCCATTTTTTGTTCTTTCTTGGGCTCCCAGTGTATTATTGTCCCTAATATCCTTAATACGTTTCTTATTCCTTGTTCTGCCTATAGTGTATATAAAAATATCTTCTCTCTTTTCTGTGGAGGAACTCCTCAGCTCTTTGAAGGGCTCTTTATGTTCTGTGTAAGTTTTCTCTTCAGAGTTGTCTGTTGTCCCTGTGGCCTTCAACTCCTCCCTGCCTTTCATGATTGCCAATCTCCTTTTAACTTGCGTGGGACATTATTAGGCTTGTTAATGCCCCATGAATGAGGGGCCTAGAAGAGAAGGCAACTTTACAGAACAGCCAGATGGAACAGGACTGTTGTTTCCCACAACTGGATGCTTTCAGTGACAATCACCACAGTGCCGACTCATGCTGAGCACAAGGGCAATTCACACCTTTGGGTCCTTTCTATATAGCCCACTATGAAGTTAGGTTTTCCTCCCATCTTGGGAGGGTGTAGTTGTTACTCATTTTACCTAAAGGTAGGAAGGAGTACATAAACATAGAAGTATTATATATTTAAATTAAATTAAATTATTTCATTGCCTTTTGCCTATTAATGGTTCAGAACTTTCTTATTTCCTGCAGCATTTCTAGGAGACAAGACTGAATTGCACAAGATTATTCTCAGGTCACACGTCTGAGCTTGGTGGCTTGTTTACATTGCCAGTCTCCTGTTCAGGCCAGGAGGACTCTCTCACCCCTTGTTTCTTAGCACCCTTCCTGGTTGGGTTTACTTGTTTTAGGGATCACAAACTTGTCTCATCTCTTGAGAAGACACTAGTAGATGGTTTCCCTGCTGTGTCTTACCTATCACTCTTAAGGCTCAGACACTTAGGAAAGTTGTAGGATCTTGTTTTAAGGTTGGGGAAGAAGTTGGTACCATCTGGTGAGACCTTCTGTCAAGATTTTATTAAGCAATGGCAGAAATCAGCACATGACATCTTGTGCGAGATTTCATCTTGTTGGTTTTAGATCATCTTCCCAACCTGTCTGAGTCTTTTAGATTTATGATTCTTGTCACCCACTTAGCATTTTTTCCTAGCTGTTATCTGCAGATGGCTTCACTTAAGTTCAAGGTTTTAATTCTATAACTTGTTCCTAGATAGGTTTTTTTAGAGTACGTAAATTAATCAACATTCTTTAGTAAATATTATTTAATTTACCAAATCATTCCATTTTTAGTTCATACTTTCTTACCTTATTCACTAAGTGAAAGATGGAGCTAAAACACTGCTCAGACCTGGACTGAGTGTCTCTGACTTCCACGACTCAGGGTCTGTTTGTCTGGAACATGTTCCACCCCATAGACCTTGTATAGACTGGCCCTTGCTCCGTGTCTGAACTTAATCTGGTTCCATTTTTCCCTTTTTTCTGCTCCTCCCACAGGAACTTTCCATTTCCTCAAATGCTTCTGGTTCCTTCTTACCCCAGGACATTTGCACATGCCAGTCCCAACCTCTACCCCTAGTAACACCTACTCATCTTTAATTTAGAACTGACTTCTTCAAGTAAGCCCTCTTCAACCTACCAGACTTGATCAGGTTTCCCCTTGTCATGCTATCACCACATTCAGTGATTTATAAATATCTGTGTGATTATCTAAAAATCTTCCCTGCTAAACTGGGATCCTAGAGGGCAGGAACTGTGCCTGTCTTGTTCATCATGGCATTCTCAAGACCTAGAACAATCTCTGGCACATAGAAGGTGCTCTGTAAATATTTGAGCGCAAACTGTGTCTCAGTTTCTTTTTTTTTTAATAGAATGGGAATAATAATACATAGCCCTCTGGTTTATTTTGAGCATTAAATATAACACACTTAGTGCCTTGCACAGGTGGATGCTCAAGAAATGTTACTATTTTTTTCAAATACATAAAAAGACAAGGAAACATTTATTGAGTGTGTGCCATGTGCCAGCACAGTTCTTGATCACTGACTGAAAACAGGCTTATTGTCTCTGCTCTCTTGTTGTTGTTTTTCTTTTTCTAAATTACTATGTGACATTTATTTGATGGTGAGCCTAGAATTTCTCAAGGGATTAGCAGCTTACTTACTGGGCTCTCAGTGTCAGGATTTACTTCCCCTACCTCCAGTGTAACATGAGAGTACTTGCCCATATTCAGCCTTCTGGCCAGGTTTGCACTGTTGCCTGTAACTGATCAAAAGTCTTGTCTTATAAGCTTTTGCAATTCCTTAGAGTTTAGGTCATCTGGCCTAGAAACTTGAACTCATCCAAAATGCTTGAGGCTTTGTTTTTGTTCTCTTGCTACCTAGGGTTTATTCTCCCTTAATGATTTTTCCTGCTGGATTATTAAGCCTGTCCATTCTGAGGCCTTATAAATAATCAACATTACACTCTAGTAAAACCACCAAGATATGCACAAACTTAAAGCTTTTTCATCGATGGTGCTTCTCTATTTCACTTGTAGATCACCACCCCCAGACTCCAGGCTGACTCACCTCCCATGACCCAACAATTCTACATGGGTCCCTACAGAACTGAGAATTTCAAGGCACCAATTCTGTATGGATAGGCAAAGTGTACAGATAAAGATGCTTTTATTATCTGTCCTTTTTGATAAATTGTATTTTTATAAGCAGCTAAAGTCACCATCCATCAATCCATTCATTCAAATAAACATTAAAGAACTCACTTTAATCTAAAAATGGTGACAGAGTCTAGGAATGTAAGGAATAAGCCTTTATTCCCCAGGAATGTTCCATGTAGTGGTGAGGTCGTGCCTCCTACGTAAGATACAAGTGCTATGAAGTACCATGCACACTGTGCTAAGGCAGCTCTCAGAGGGACCTGTGGTGAGAGTGAGTCCTAGGAAAAAGCTTTGGTGACCATAGCACTGAGTGTCCTAGCTTCTAGGCAGGACCTCCTCCGTTACTTGCTCCCCTCACTCCTCAGATGGAGTGGAACATTCTCAGGTCTTGGAGCCCTCTCTCTTCAACAGGGATTTGCTCAACTTGCTGGTTCTGCTTCTCCATTTAGTATAAGATCATTTTCTTCTTGCTGGGCTCATGAGTTGCACTGTAACCATCCTCAGTCTTTAGCTTTTAAGGCGTGTTCTTGTACTTTATATCCTTTCCCGCCCATGGTGCTGAGGATTGAACCTAGGGCCTCACGAATGCTAGGCAAGTGCTCTGACCCTGACCCACACCCCATCTCTAAATCTTTCTTACACTGTCTGGCCTCAATCAGACTTCCTCTTCCTTCTGACTCTAAACCTGCATTTCCTTATTATCTTTATAATGAATAATCACAACGCTTATATTTGAAGAGGGTACTTTTTCATTCCATATAGATTATTAAATAAGAACTATTTAATAATAAATAGTTAAACTATTAATAATAATAATAATTAATAATTAATAATAAATAGTTAAACTCAAAATCACATCCTTTTCAATGACCCTATAAAGAAAAGTTTCCATTATGACATGAACTCCATATGACAGGTTAGATTCACATACCACCCTGACATAAGATCTAGGGGTCTAAGTAAAATAGTTGACAGTCTTTTACTCTTTTTATTCTTTTTTTTGAGACAGTTCTCACTATGTAACCCAGTCTGGTGTCAAGCTCTTGATCCGCCTTCCTCAGCACCCCAAAGTGCTGGAATTATAGCATATGCCACCACAACCTGTTTAGTTGACTGTCTTTTAAGATTAGGAAGTCACTCCTACCATTCAGTATTAAAAAATGTACTGCACAAAGAATTTTAACCTCTTTGTTTTTCTCAATAGTGTAAAAACATAGCTGTCTCAAGCTTTCAGGGGTCAGGCAGGTGAAGTAGTGAGATGTGAGATCATAGAGAATGGGGCAGATGGCCAGCTGGAGTGTTCATCCCTCTCTGTCTGCCCCGCCCAGCACTCAGCACCCCAAGACAGTCACATTGAAAAATACGAACATGGCGGTGATCACAATCTGGGACCAGAGTTAGTCCTTGGGATGTTGCTTTTTGAGTCCTTGTCTAAAACAACGTCTTTTTGTATTGCAGATCTCCTACAAATATCTTATTATTGCTCTTGGAATCCAACTGGACTATGAGAAGGTATTGTCTTAAGTTGTTCTTATGTTACATTGGTCTGTTTATGCCAAGATCAAGCCCTGTGTTTGGTTGCTTTATGTTCATTTTGATAAGAAAGAGGTTCTAAGAATTTCTCTCCTAGTTTTATTTCTCAGCAGTCCTTTTGTGGCATAAGAAAGACTTCTTTAAAAGGCAGAACAGGTTCTGCCTGGAAGTGAGGGGGGTCGGGGGTGAGGGAAGGGGCGGGGGACAAGGGGGAGAAATGGCCCCAACAATGTATGCACATATGAATAAATGAATTAAAAAATTGTGATGTGAAAAAAAAAGAAAGACTTCTCTAACAGCCTGCCAATGGTAACAATGTGCTTCAGCTTTAAACTTTAATCAGAGTCCAGCACTTTCATAGTCTAATAGGAATTCTTGCAAAATAACTGTTTCCACACTTACAGGAAACCTCTTTCTGTGTGGCACTGAGTTGGTTGTATTAAAGATTAAGTTTTCCTTTATAAGTCAGATTCAGATTATGAGTTCCTAAGCAGACTACACTAGCAGTTAGTTCATTAGACACTGGCAGGACATCTGGGTTTTGTTGTGTAGATGCTGAAATTTTTGGTATGAAGTAACCAAACACAATATAAATGCCACCCTAGAAGTTTCTTAGATCTGTTTTCAGTAAGCTGGGAAAGCCACATGCTGACAGCTGTGAGTTGCAAGTTGATTTTTCTAAACACAATGGACTAAGCAATTGTTAGGATTTCCAGGAGCTTGTTGGGGACTATGGAACTAGTTGGAGCATGTAAAACATAGTGCCAGCCAGGTCACATGCTATAGCAATGTGATTCCAGCAAGGGCCTCATCCAAGGTGGCCTAGGAAGGGTCTTTGGAGTATGTTTATGCATAAAAAACTTGAATTGTGACATGTCCAGGGTAAGGGTAGTGGAAATATCTTGGGATGTGTTATGGGAAGGTTCAGAGAAGCCATGAATTGGTGTGAGTGTTTTAGGATGGTTTTGAGTCATGGTGCCATGGGTCATGAGTCTCACAATGTGACCATTATGGCTACAAGCCATACAGAAAGGTGCCAATTACAAGTACTTTTGGGAGGTCCATGTCTCCTTCAAAAGACCATGTACTGCTGACTTAGCAAAGGTAGCCTGTCTCCATGGCACTGTCTCCACCCAATGTCTCTGTGAGGAATACCAAAGAGGCCTGTGCTGAAAGTTTTTGGCACCTTCTTGCTGTAAACCAAGAAACAACAATATTTAAAGGTACCTATTATTATGGAATCTTTTCTATGTACCAAGAACTATGCTGGGAATTGGATATTGATTCTTATTGTGAGGAAGGTATTTTTATCTTCACTTAATAGACCGAGAAAATGAGTCTAAGAGAATTAAGTAACTTAACCATGGCTAGAGTGCTACTTGGAACTTTTTAATTGCAGGTTTGAGGAAATTGTTTAGATTAATGGAATCAAAAAAGGGGGGAGGGGCATCACTTGTTGAAAATACAAAGATGTCTGTGGAACTCTAGGGCAGGAATGTGATGGGCCTCTGGCAGGGCTGGATCTCTCTAATCTGGCCATTGTTGGACCCAGGCAGCCTGTCTCTGCCATCTGTCACTGTGTCTTTCTCATGCCAATTGCAGGGTCTCTGCAGCATGGTGTCCTGCTCACTGCTGTGTCCCATGAGACAGGACAATCCTCAGTGCCTCTGTGCACAGTCTATTACTGTGAAGCCAAAGGACAACAATCTCATCTCTTTCCTGATGTTCGCTGGTCCCCTTCCCCTTCTCTCTGCCTCTTTCTGCTTCAGAGTTTCCAGGAAACAACTAGACTGGATGAGGGGTCACAAATCACTCTTCATGACATAAGTTTTCCTGAAAGGAACTTTGCTAGAACTTTATGGCACATTTTCCCTTAATAACAACTTCTTCAGACTAGAGAAAGATAAGGTGATAAGACATTGGCTGTATGTTTATCTCTTGGATAGTGAGTTTTGCTTTGGGAACTGCAAAGTATGGTAGTTCAGTGCGAAAACCCCTAGGTGGGTGGTCAGAGGATTTGGTGTTTAGCTCTGTAAGATTCTGGGTAGGTTACTCAACCTTGCTGTGCTTCAGTTTTATCATCTGTTTTATGGGCTAATAAAATTTCCCTACCACCCCTAGAGGTGTATAAAATAGTCAGTGTTAACATATGAAACTTTGAAAACATTAAAACACAAGGTGGTTTCATAATCATACTAATTATTGAGCCTGCTAATATTATTATTTTTTGAACTGTAACAGGAATGATCACTAACAAAGGAATAGCTGCTCTTGAATATGAGCACTGAATGTGGACAAATATGTAATATAAGCTGGGCGTGAGTGGCCTGTACTTGTGAACCTAGCTGTTTCGTTGTCTGAGATTGGGAGGGTCTCAGTTCAAGGCCAGCCCAGGCAAATAGTTTTTAAGACCCCATCTCCAAAATAACCAGAGAAAAATGGACTGGAGATGTGGTTCAAGCAGTAGAGCATCTGCTGTGCAAGCATGAAGCCCTGAGTTCAAACCCCAGTTCCACCAAAAAACAAAACAAAAGACAAAACAAAACAAAAGATAAATAATGAATGAAATAATGAATCCAGACCACAGACGAGGGACTTTGTTTCCTTTAGACTGAGGGGCAGGTGTGCTGAGTGACTCTAAGAGTAGCCTGGAGAATAACTTGAAGGGGCCCTAAAGCACAAGCCCATCATGCTGACTGTTGTTTCTCTCTCTCTCTCCTTTTCCCTCTCTCCTTTCTTTGTTTCCCTCCCTCCCTCCTTCCTTCCTTCCTTCCTTCCTTCCTTCCTTCCTTCCTTCCTTCCTTCCTTCCTTCCTTCCTTCCTTCCTTCCTTCCTTCCTTCCTTCCCTCCTTCCCTCCTTCCCTCCTTCCCTCCTTCCTTCCTTCCTTCTGTCCCTCTCTCCCTCTCTTCTTCTTGCTGGAGATGGAACCCAGGGCTTTGTTCAGGCTAGCCAAAGCTCTACCACTGAGCTGCATTCCAGCCTTTGATGACTGTTTGTTGATAGTTGAAACTGAACCTGCTCTTGCTGAGAACTGGTGCTTAAATCTCTACAGCTCAATCTGTGACATCTCCATTGCACTCTGCAAACCTAACATTTAAGATAACTATCCCATTAATCTTACTGGCAGTAATGAACTAACATGGGGTGCTTACTGTGTGCATTGTCATTTTCCTAAGCACTTTACATGCATAATCTCATTTACTCCTGCCAACAACCCTATGATACAGAGTTTTAGCCCCATTTTACAGGTGTTGAAACATAACTGATTGGATATTGATGTGCATTAGAGTCACCTGGAGGGCAATTTCTGCCACCCCTCCCCCCCAAGAATTTCTGATTCAGTAGGTCCAGGATAGGGTCTGAAAATTGTCTTATCCAGTTTCTAGGTGGTACTGGTGCTGTTGGTCTGGGGACACACTTTGAGACCCACTGTCTTAGAAATAATAGGTAATTTCTTTAGAGTCACTTTACTATCATGTAGAAAAGCTAGGACTCAAACCAGGTCTGTGGGATTCTAAAGTCCATGCTTTTAATCAGCTGACCTTACTGTACTTAGCGAGTTTGATCTGGTATAACCTGGTAGAGAGTAATTTGTCTTTGGCATTACCGACTATAAATGAATAGCTCTTGGGTTGGCCTATCCTTCTTTTTCGCAATAGGACAACTGATTCTCCTCAATCGAAGTATAGCTGAATGCTGCCCTTACTCTGAAGGTGGAAGGAGCTGTGTTCAAATCACAGTCTCAAGGACAGGAAGGTGGGTGGTTACCTTGTGTTGGGCTCATTCTGCAATTTGACAGGTAACATCAGGTGCCAGAGCTCTGCTCTAAGAACCCTAACTCTCCTGCCCGCTCCATGTGTATGACTACAGGTGGGTGGTAATAATAGTACTGGGATATTTGAAAAGAGAAAGGATACAAAAGGCATTTGTGCTGTTGTTTAAAAAGAAATTTTCCATGTGCTTGGTTGCAGATTAAAGGTCTACCTGAAGGTTTTGAACACCCCAAAATAGGGTCCAATTATTCAGTTAAGACTGTAGAGAAGACATGGAAAGCTCTGCAGGACTTCGAGGAGGGAAATGCTGTGTTTACCTTCCCTAATACCCCGGTGAAGTGTGCGGGAGCCCCCCAGAAGATCATGTATTTATCAGAAGCATACTTCCGGAAGGTACATTTCCTCTCCAGGACAGAAAGAAGCACGTGAGCATGTCAGATAGCACTATGCAGTGATTATTCTTAGCCTTGTCTAGAACCATTTTTGTTTCTAAATTTTTGAAATAGGTACACATAGAATGAAAACAGGAAAAAGAAAGAGGTCACTTAGAATGCATTTGCTCTAACAAAGCTGCTGTTGTCAATTTGACATGTCTTTCTAGGATTTTTCAAAAATACGGTTACAGTCATGTTGTACATACAAATTTAAATGTATTACATGTTATTAAATAGTCTTTGGGACATACTTTTTAATACGTGTATAAAAATCTACTGGGAAAATATATTAGAGATTGTTAAAATACTTTTATGTCTGTAGTTGGGCAAGTAATTGCAAATTATTCACTTTCATATGACACTATCATCAATTGTGCCCAATTAAATTCAAGGTTATGAATATTTTCTGGGTCTTGATATATATTTTTGCAAATAAAGTAGGCAATATGCCAATTTTAAAAAATGTTCAGATGGAGCCTCAAAACTTTGTGGAAAGAGAATTTTTTTTGGACAGACATGTTTTGCTCAGCACTTCCCAAACACCCTGTGTGTAAGAGCTGTGTCTGTAACTCAAGCACACGTGAGGTTGGAAGGGGAGCTGTTCTTGGCCTCTCCGCCCCTTGTCTGACATGTGACATTTGGTTTACCAAGGTGTGGTTTGACTGGAGACTGGCAGGGCTTGAAGCAGCCTGTGGATCTGCAAAGGGACAGTGGGGAGAAGGGTGGGGAAGAGGAGCCTGAGGAGCTGCTGTTTCTTTCATCCTACAAATTTCCTTTGCATAACTTTTTTTCTCCCAAGCCTTGGGCAGCCTAAGAGGGAGGTTCTCTCAGGATTTTTGTTCCCCCAGTCCTAGAACAGTACCTGGCCAACTCTAGGCCTTTACTAACTCTTCATTGAGTGAGTGAATGCATACGTGAATATGTGATAAACAGTTCAGCTTTAGTTTCTCTTTACTTCAGTTGAACAGTGCCCACCTCAATCCCCAAACTCAAGGGTGCACCAAATTGTTACGTCATGGGCAGAAAATAAGGAGGCATTGGGTCCATCCACATATCACCCCATCAGGGTATAGTGATGCAAAAGTTGATGAAGTCTCTTTTGAGGGTTTTAATTCTTGTCTGGGTTAAGAAGGGAAAAAAAGTGGCCGGAGTAATGCTGTGGTGTTGGTTGTTTTCTTCTTTCCTTTTTGTCTAGACTGGGAAGCGATCCAAGGCCAATATCATTTTCAACACTTCTCTTGGAGCAATTTTTGGGGTTAAGAAGTATGCAGATGCCCTGCAGGAGATCATCCGTGAGAGGATGATCACTGTTAACTACAAGCAAAACCTTATTGAAGTTCGAGCTGACAAACAAGAGGCTGTTTTTGAGAACCTGGACAAACCTGGAGAGACCCAAGTGATTTCAGTGAGTGTCGAGGTTAAACTGCCTGTGAAGCATTGTCTGCTGCACAGTGCTTTGGATGCAGGTGACATTGTTATCACCACCTTATGCTGGGGAAGGTGGTTATAAGGAGCATCCAAGGGCAGTGATAGGGCGAGATGGAGAACAAAGAGGGATGGGAAAGAGCAAGATGGCAGAGGCCATGTCAGTGGGAGGAGAGTGGGAGTTTACTTACTGGTGCCAAGTGCATTTTTGTCCCCTTCTTTGACACTCCTTTTCCCGGTACTGAGTCACTTGAAGCAGTCAAACATATTTCACAACTTCAGTTGAGAAGTTGTGAGAGAGCTTCCTTAAAATCCAGAACTGATGATTGTCTCAAATGTGGCATGTGGAAAACAGCCCTGCTTGTTAGCAGGAAGTAATACTGTGGGTAGGTCAAGAAAAACAGAAATTTCTCTCACCTGTGGAAGAGGCTGTCTCTATCTTTTACCCGTGCATAAAAGGCAGCACTTAAAAGTCATTTTTGAAGGATTTGGCAGAGCAGTCACCTTCCTTAGAAAGGTCTAGCTTTCGTTGTAGGGGCTGGTCCTTTATGTGTCTCAGTTTCTTCTTCCATGAAGTGGGAATAGTATTTTTATAGAAGCATATGAGGATTTAGAACTAGATGCAAGGGATCTGGAGAAGAATATTGTTTACACCATTCTGGCAAAAGCTGTCAGCAATGAGAAAGCATTACTCAATTATGTTTTATTCACTCAGCGTTAATGAACGAAGGGTTCTATAAAAAGGAATTTTGAAGTGAGCTGATTTAGAACTAGATGCAAGGGATCTGGAGAAGAATATTGTTTACACCATTCTGGCAAAAGCTGTCAGCAATGAGAAAGCATTACTCAATTATGTTTTATTCACTCAGCGTTAATGAACGAAGGGTTCTATAAAAAGGAATTTTGAAGTGAGCTGAAGTTTAGTCATCTAAACATTGAAACTTCAAATTTTAAGCTTTTAGCTCAAGCTCTTTCTGAAATCTGTTGTGCATATGTACCTTTCTTAAATGGAATGCAGTGCATATCATTAAAATGTCACTGATGACTCAGAGCCATATGCTTAAAATTTTATTTGGAAATAATCTCAGAGAAGTTGCAAAAATAAAAAATGGTACAAATAAAGTTGTATATAGCCTTCACCTAGATTCACATGTCAAATTTTATACCATTTGCAGCAGAAACTATTTTGCCCTTATCTCAATTTGTGTAGAGAGAGTATAAGCAATAATAGGAAGGAACAAGGGGTTTTGCTGGTTGAGATAAGGATAGCTATACAGGGCATTGACTCACATTGATTTCCTGTGTGTGGGTGTTACCTTCTAGGTTAATTCTTTTTGATCTAACCTTTTGATCTAATCTCTATATATGTCTGTTTGCCTGTATCTGCTGTCTGTTTCCCAGAGAAAAGTCACATGCATCAAACATTCTTTCCCTTTTCCCTTCTTAATATTTTCATGTAAATTTCTTAAGATAGGGAAATCTTTTTTAATATAACCACAGTAGATAGCAGCTCAGTTCACTTAGCACATATATAATTTTTAATCTATTTGTATCAAATTTTGTTGATTGACCCAATACAATTTACAGTATTTTCCCCTCCTCAGTACAGGATCTAGTTTATAGCCAAATATTGCATTTAACTGTGATGTCTTTTTAGCCTCTTTTAATCTGGGACAGTTCTACAGCATTTCTTAGTCTTTTAATCTGGGACAGTTCTACAGCATTTCTTAGTCTTTTAATCTGGGACAGTTCTACAGCATTTCTTAGTCTTTTAATCTGGGACAGTTCTACAGCATTTCTTAGTCTTCTATGATACTGACATTTTGGAACAATACAACCTCCTCTCATCACTTTTTTTTTTTTTTTTAAAAATAGAATCTTCCTCGTTTGAGTTTGTCTGTTTTGTTGTAATCAGTTTTAGGTTATGTTTCTGGACTGGACCATAGTGTACGTAACATGTTCTTCTAGGGAATGACATTTGCAAGTATGCAATGTTCACTGGTCCAATTTTTCCACTGAATGATTACTATTCTTCTCCTCCCTTGCTAATAAGAAAGACTGTAGAGAGATTTTTGTGTGTGTGTGTGTGATGGGTTTTTTTGAGATAGGGTCTGGCGAACTATTTTCCAGGGCTGGCTTTGAACTGTGATCCTCCTGATCTCTGCCTTCTGAGTAGCTAGGATTATAGGCATGAGACACCTGTATGGAGAGAGATTTTCAGATCATGCAAACACCCTACTCTTTAAACTCTTCTCCTGGATTTAGCAACTGTCGATGTTGCTCACCTAATCTCATTTTCACTATGGTGTTTGCACTATGGTGTTTCCGTCCACATTAACTGGCAGGTACTTGACATTTTGTCAGTCAGTAAGAGTCTTTCCTTTTCTGTTAATTACTTGCTGGTATGAACTCATGAACTTTAAATTTTTTCCCATCATTCATTAATGTCCTTAATTACGTTGGTGCTCAAGCTGTCTCAGATTTGGTCAGTAGGAGCTCTTTCCAGCTGACTCCTGAGTTCCTGTGACATGTACCTATTGTGCTTTTCCACACTTTCTTACTTTCTGCTGTCACAGGATGTTCCCAGCTCATCTGCTTCTCCTTGCCCCAGCTCTGGCACATCATTTTGAATAACTCTCATGCAGCTATGCTCACAGGGTTATGTAAGTCTAGCTATCATTTTACAAAGGGTCTCTGTTGTGTGTCCTTTTGTGATTTTCCAGTTTTCCTGGCTGTCAGTAAGTTGTGACTTTAAAGACACCTTTAGCTGTGACCTTCAGCTCTTTTAAATTGCCGCCCATTGGCTGAAAATGAGAGAGCCAACCTTATTGAATTTTATGTAAAGTGAATGGGCTATGAATGGGGGGGTCCAAAGCATACTTTTGTGAGCAAAGTGTGTGAGCTTGAGTGAAGGAACTTAACTTTGTAATTTGGGCTTTTTTACTTTGGTTCTCAGTGTACTCTTGGGTAGTTGAGATTGCAGTTAGGGACTTGGATAAATGAATGGTTATTGTTTTCCTACAAAGTTTGTAAAGAACGAAGATATTCTTTTGAATGATAGGATTTCAGGTCAAATATTTTTTGATTCCCACATTTAAAATCTGAATTTCAAAATAGTGGCTCCTAGCCCTGGCTGTGCTGGAATCACCCTAAGACGTTGGTACTTGAGTCTCCCCAACAGAGATTTTGATGAATTGTTCTGGAATGCCAACTGAGGATGGGAAGTTTAAAAAATTTTAGGATCATTAATGGAGAGCTTTTGAACTGATTCAGATTTCCTAAGTTTTAAGAAACCAAAACTTGTTTTATGACAGAGTCCTAGAATTAGAAGGGACTTTGGAGTTATATAGTCTGATGCATTTCCTATGGATAAACACATCAAAGACCTGGCAGGAGAAATGACTTGTCCAAGTTATAGCATTTTATTTTTCATTGTAAATGTACCTGTTTCTTCAAGCCAGAACTTCTAAGACTGTGATCCACAGGTTTCATGTGTCAGAATAGCTAGAAGATTTTGTTAAGGTGCATATTTCTATGCTTTACCCAGACCTATTAAATTGAGATCTTGGGTCTAGGAACCTGCATTTTCTGAAATGTTGCTTCTAAACACTAAAAAATTTTTTATTCATATGTACATACAATGTTTGGGTCTTTTCTCCCCTCTTCCCCCCGACCCCTCCCTTAGCCACCTCACCTCCTCCCTCTCCCTCCCCACCCCCTCGTTTCCAGACACAAACTATTCGCCCTTATCTCTAATTTTGTTGAAGAGAGAGTATAAGCAATAATAGGAAGGACCAAGGGTTTTTGCTAGTTGAGATAAGGATAGCTATACAGGGAGTTGACTCTCATTGATTTCCTGTACATGTGTGTTACCTTCTAAATTAATTCTTCTCAAACTAACCTTTTCTCTAGTTCCTGGTCCCCTTCTCCTATTGGCCTCTGTTACTTTAAGGTATCTGCTTTAGTTTCTCTGTGTTGAGGGTAACAAATGCTATCTAGTTTTTTGGGTGTCTTACCTATCCTCATACCTTCCTTGTGTGTTCTCACTTTATCATGTGATCAAAGTCCAATCCCGTTGTTGTATTTGCCCTTGATCTGATGTCTGCATATGAGGGAGAACATAGGATTTTTGGTCTTTTGGGCCAGGCTAACCTCACTCAGAATAATGTTCTCCAGTTCCATCCATTTACCTGCGAATGATAACATTTCATTCTTCTTCATGGCTGCATAAAATTCCATTGTCTAAACCCTAAATTTTGAAAACTATTTTGAATGGATTATTTATGTTAATGAATGAGAACCAAGCTATTTATCATGCATAATTTATGACAATAAATAATGGATAAAGAATAAGCTATAATTAAGTGAAAGTGTTAATTTTTCATAATCACATAGCAGACTCTAGTATTTCTTTTCTGGAGGGGGTTAGCTTAAGTAAAACTCCATGCCTTCATGATGACTCTGAGAAAATACTTAGCTTCCTTTCTAGAAAAGGTATATGGAATTCATGTGCAATTATGAAATTAAATCTCACATTAACTCCATCAGATAGAGTTCAAAAAAATTCTAGTTGACTACAGGAATGCAGACATGGCCTTAATAATTTGGAGAGTGATGGTAGTTGACCATTTCATTCATTATCCAGCAGTCTTGTGCTCATTCTCCACATTTATCAACAGATCTGGCCTGAGGGACCCAAAGACTACCCAAGGTTACCCAGTAGAGGAGTACTAATTGTTTTCAATACTATTTCCTTAAGATAATTGAGTTTATAACTAACAGAGAATTGGAATAAATATAATTCAGCTTCCTGATTTCCATCAGTGATTACTGAGCCCCACAAGGGCATGGGTTTCCCTATGGAGACCAGAGGTTTTTGACCATCACACAGTAGGGATTGTCTTAAAATAATAAAGGTTTTCCCTGATGAAATGTTATGTGAACATTTGAATTAATATGTCTTAAAGTGAACCTGCTAGCAGATTGAAGTTGCTAGATGGGTTCATAAAAACTAAAGGGATAAAAAGCATGAACTATAAAAAGTGGAAGAATATTACATAAACAAAAAGCAAAATGAGCTGAGTGTGGTGGGCCATGTTTGAAATCCTAGAACTTCAGAGGCTCAAGGCCAGACTGGGCTACTTAGCCAGACCATGTCACTAAACACCAACCTTCTCCCCCTGCCAAATCCAAAATCCAATAAAAACAAAAATGTTGAATTATCAAAAGCCTTCAGGGTGGTATAGTGTACTATCACTAAGGATAACCTTAATATAGGGGTTTGGAAAAAAATCTATTCCTACCCTCTGCTCAGTAAAATTGGTACTGAATCAAACCCTCTCTACTTCTCCAAGTGCTAGATAATTTTCTTATTGTCATTTCTTTTTCTTAAGTGGGTGAGTTGACATTTTCTTTATGTGTTTGTGAGTCGATCCATAGTTGGGAATGCTGCTTGCTTACCAGCTCTTAACAGAGCATTTAGAGGTTTCAGACTCTCAACACTTCCTTCCAGAAGAAAACAGAAGTACCAGACATTATATGTTGGCAGCTGAGGGGCAGGGAAAGAGGAACTAAAATTATACCCTCCCCTTAATTTTAGTAATAATAAAAACATCAGTGGATTCCTTCAGAATGTTAGTGGGTTCTAACACAAAGTATTGGGTGCTCCAGTGTCTGTTCTCTGCTTGAGGGACCATGTGGGCTCAGTTGGGGGAGATCACATTAACAGAGGGAACAGTTGTTTAGTTTATCACCATCCTCCATGGGACTGTATAAGATCTTGGAGAGGGTGTTGATTGGTATAAGCACTAATTGCATAATGCTCCATACAGCCATAGTACAGTGTGTGTGGAGTAAAGATGGTGGGGGGAAGAGCTTATTGGGCTATAGAAATATTAAAAAGATGTGACTTTGGCTGCTCTTCTTTTGTGTAGTATGAAATGCTTCATGTCACGCCACCAATGAGTCCACCAGACGTCCTAAAGACGAGTCCTGTGGCTGATGCTGGTGGCTGGGTAGATGTGGATAAAGAAACTCTGCAGCACAAGAAATACCCAAATGTGTTTGGGATTGGGGATTGCACCAATCTTCCTACGTCAAAGACTGCTGCTGCAGTAGGTAGGATGACCAGCTCTGTTTTTCCTTCTTTTAAATGGACATTTCCCCAAGGCACCATCATAACATAAAAGTTTGGCACAAACAACATTCTATTAATAATGGAAAAAAATTTTGTGACCTAAAAATGACTTTGACCTGCCTGCAACAGAAGCAAATTGTCAATGAATCTTGTGTTATATGAAGAAGAAAGTAACTTTTGAGTGCTTTGTCCTCCACACAGCATAATTTTACCTGCCTTTTGTAGATCAAAGGGGTTGTTTCCAGGCCAAAAAGCAACAGAAAGCACCACTTTTACATTTCCTTGGAATTCTGTTACTTCTCATACTGCTACTCTCATATCCCTGGTATCCCTGCTGCTAGGCAGGTTGACTATTTTTTCTTCTGCCTGAAAGACCAAAAACTAGGGAAGCATTTGTATCCCCAGAAAACATGCAAGTCGATGAAAGTTTGCAGACCAGAAAATTGTTCTGTTAAGACAAATACAGTGGAACATGCCCTGATTTGTACATGATTAAGGCCTCAGCCTGGAAAACCAAATTCTTCACCTTTTTGTTCTGCACTAGCAGTGATGGGGAGAATTGCCTTTTAGATTCTACCCTCTACAGACAGAAACTGTCTTCTCTGGCTGCTATAAAACATGGACCTCGCTGCTGATGGGTATGGTAGTGTTTTGTGTGAATTAGACATCTGCAGAGCATGCTGTGTTTCTTTCATGGACTATTTCAACATTAATAAAGACTTTTTAGGACACCCACTGAATATCTTTTTCATTACTAATGATAATTATCTCCCAACTTTTTAATTTCAGAAATCTCAAACCAATGAAAAAAAATTTTAAAGTATAATAAATACTCATATACCCTTCAGGTATAAGACAATTGTTAAAATTAGGTAACATTTGCTTCATTACTCTGTGTACTTTTTTTTGCTGAGTCATTTGAAAGTAATTTTATACATCATAATACTTCACTTTAAATACTTCAGCCTGTGTCTCCTAGGAGAAAGGACATTTCCTTCCATATCTACTGTAGGGATGGCGGAGTGGCTCAAGCAGTAAATCACCTGCCTAGCAAGTGTGAGGTCCTGAGTTCAAACCCCCGTGTTGCAAAGCAAAAACATGATATAGGACCATTATCATTTCCAAGAAATTTAATTACTCATGTTTTGGGGTATGAAAATGCTACTGTGCTTGTGTTAAAAGATCCCCCCTGTGGAACACTAGATATTGTTCCTTCTATTTAACTGTGCTTGATACACGTTAGTCAATCTCCCACTAGATACTGCCCGCCCCCCACCTCAACCTCTAGTAATCATGATTCTACATTCACATAAACCTTTTTAAACTTTCAAAAAAAAAGTTTCCCCCTATGTCAGAGATACACCCAGAAATATTTATGGGTGAGTTGATATGATGTGCTCTAAAAATATTCCAGAAAAAGTGGCATGTGTGGTAGGATAGATTAAGCAAAAATGACAGAATTTGAACATTTCCATATTAAAAAGGCAGTCTCCCCACTCTCGCCAATGAGGTTGCATGTATGTGTGTATACAAAGAGAGACAAACACAGCTGGATGTGAAGATTTGCATCATCTGGTCTACCTTCAGCCGGGGCAGCACTGCAGCGAGGGAAGCCTGTGCTTTGCCTAATTGGATAATGCCCGGGGCTACCAGGATAGACTGACTGTGAACAAGGATACAGGGATGTGCGAGGTGGCCATGGGATACTGGACACACAGACCAAATTGAGAGTCACCAACCCTCAGAAGAAGGGGTGGGGGATTGGGGTATTGGGGTACTGCCATCCTTGTAGTCCTGTTGGAGAGAGCTGGCTTTTCCATCGTAAATCAATAGTGGCATCTGTGTGGGCCTTTGGTAAACGGAAGGACCCCCTCTGATAGTCAGAAGTGCAAATAGTAAGAAAAGTCATGTTCTACTCACCCTCTGGTGGCATGGGAGATGGCATCTTCCTGCCTTGTTTATTTTAAAGTCATTTGCAAATGAGATTTTGTGGCAAACCTAGATGCTTATATTTTTCTGACTTTTCTATTTCTCTTACAGCTGCCCAATCAGGAATACTTGATAGAACAATTTCTCTGATTATGAAAAATCAAACACCAGTGAAAAAGGTTTGTACCCTTGTTCCTTCCTATTATTGCTTATACTCTCTCTTCAACAAAATTAGAGATAAGGGCAAAATAGTTTCTGCCTGGTAGCAAGGGGGTAAGGGGGGAGAAGGAGGGGATGGGGGGAAAGGCAGGGGGTGGGGGGGAAAGGGAGAGAAATGAAATGACCCAAACATTATATGCACATATGAATAAGAGAAATAAAAAATAAATAAATAAAAAAATTTAAAAATTAAGAAAAAGGTTTATATGCCTTATAGGAATCATGGACTCAATTATCACCTTCCATTCTATGTGAAGATAGTGTTCTCCCATAATTTTGCCACTTTCTTAATTAGTTTAGCCAGTATGAGCACTTTGATTTTTGCCTTTAGTACTATTTTTCATTACATAATATGTTTTTTCCCCAACAAAAATTTGGAATTACAAAAAAGAAAAAAAATTGTGAATACTCACAGGAAATAGTAAATTTAAAAGTGTCTAGGTAATACGACAAAATCTGCTTTCTAGCTCAGTCTGACTTACCATTTTAGTATGATGGGTACACATCATGTCCACTGGTGACTGGCTACAACCGTGTGATTCTTGCGGAGTTTGACTACACAGCTCAACCACTGGAAACCTTCCCCTTCAATCAGGCCAAAGAGCGACTTTCGATGTACCTCATGAAGGCTGACCTTATGCCTTTTCTGTATTGGAATGTGATGCTAAGGTGAGTACCTCACCTGGTCCTGGTGCAGAGGATGCACCTGTTAGTGTATTACACCATTTGTACAGGGGTGATTGTTGCAAGGTTCCTTCCAGAGTCCCCTTAAAGCAGGACTTGCTAATGGGATCTAAGCTGCTGAGCCATTTCTCTTGGGTTAGTGATGGCAGTCCTTGAAGGATTCTAAAGTCTTAGCCACACTCAGGAAAGGTTTGTGACAATATACCATTCACAGGGATACAACCTCTTCTCTTTATTGTTGACAGTGACCAAGACTTCTGTCTTTCATGCTCTGGCCCTCCTTTGCTGTGGATAGATAATCATAACAATTATCACGATAATAGTGGTAGTAATAATCATTTTACATGTCAAGTCCTTTCTCATTTGCTACCTTAGTTTTGTTCTTATTTCTTATTTTTATTTATTTTTTGGTGGTACTGGGGTTTGAACTCATGCTTACTAGGTAGGTACTCTGCCATTAGTTTTGTATTTATGATGTTTTGGGAAAAAATAAAAGTAATTAAGTGTTTGAATCATGCTTATTCCACTTACTATATGTGTATCCTAGGGCAAGCTAAACTGTTTAATTTCCTATCTGCACAAGGAGAGTAACATTGCCTACCTGATAAGAAGGAGATTAATGAGATAACACATATAGAGACAGGTAATAGTTGGCATGCTGTTAAGTAGAGTAATACAAATGAATAATTCTTTGTTCCAAAACAACGATGATATCTTTGGACTTTTCCAAACTCATATGAAATTGGTAAGTCAGGATATCTATACCAGTGGTTCTCAACCAAGAATTATTTCCCCCCTCCTAGGGGGACACTTGGTAATATATGGAGACATTATTGATTGTCACATCTTGAAATATGCTACTGGCATTTTGTGAGTGAAAGCCAGAGATACTTCTAAACTTCCTGCAGTGCACAAGACAGCCTCATAATAAAGAAAGAAGTACCTGGTTCAAAATATCAATAGAGCTGAGGTTGAGAACCCCTGACCTCAACTTGATTTATGAGCAAGTAAAAGCTGAGAAGAAACTAGTTTGCATGTAGTAGAGGCTTCATATAGGTTTGCTGACTAGTCTGGGATCACACAACAAGTCAGTGCCAAAGGTAGGACTCAAAGCAGGTTGTCTTCTCCTAGTCATGGGCTCTTTCTACCTCACTAGAGAAGTCTTTGTGTGCTGATAAGCGTCCTCTATGAGCATCTTGGCTTCCCTTTCAACATCCTGCTGGCTGACGACACCCCATCTCTTTTGACTACAATAACTTTTCTGTTATTTCTTACAGGGGCTACTGGGGAGGACCAGCCTTTTTGCGGAAGTTGTTTCATCTGGGTATGAGTTAAGGATGGTTCAACACTTGCTTTCCTGGATGGTTTCTAGGCTCAAACCATAGCTACTTTCCCAAAATGGCATGAAGGAATCTGAACTTAACCCTGTAAGGAATTTGCTGGATATGGCAACGTTTTCATACCTCTGAACAGACACCATGTGGGCAGCCTAGGATGGGCTTGATTCTTTGGAAATAATCAAGTGAAAGAATAGACTTCTGTTTTCTAAATAAAAGTTTGTCATTGATTGATTTCTATGAGAAAATTCTATTTTCAAAAGTAGGAATGAAAAGTTATAGTACTTAGGAGACAAAGATGGTGTTGATGGGATAGCTGACTTGTTATCTACCATGAATGTTCAATGTAGAGCTGGTGTAATTTTACAAATTCTATTTGAGTCATAGAAAAGAATGATCCCAAGGACAATATTGCTTCAGACACAGTGGCAGCCCTGAACACTGCTGCTTAGAACACCTGTGCAGATCACAGCATGGTGGACTGAGAGAGTCCAGCTGCCTTTCTGGTTCCTCCACTCTGTGTCAAGGCCAGTGACTGACACCATGGGGTACTAGTGCCTACCCATTCCTTGGGATATGGGACTCCTGTACTGGGAAATTTTGGCTCCGGGAATCCCCATTAGCCTGGCTGAAACTCTCTTATAGCTGAATCTGAGCTTTTCCTGTCCCATTCGTGTTTCTTTCCTTTCCTTTTCACCAGGAGTTCAACCTCCATCATGATCTGATTGGGCACCCTACCTTCTGTTCCTTCTTCTTTATCCTTCATTGGCATTCCCCCTCCTAAATCTCTTGCAAATTAGATTCTTTCATGGCACTTATTTCTCAGAGAACATACTCACCATAATGTCAGATTAGAGGAATCCAAATTTTGTGGCAAGCATTTGTTTAATTCAGTCCCAATTTGGGCCAACAAAATCTTGAATGAGTTTGCATTGGAAGTGTTGCAGGAAGTAGTTTATTTGAAGTTCAGCAGCAGCTTCAAAATAACTTTCTCCCAATCAGTTGATTGTAGACATTTAGTTTCAGTCAATCTGGCATTTTAAGGCTGGGCACATTTCATATTTATAAATGATCCCAAGGGGAAAGGCATACCAATGTATATAATGTCTTAGATTTTATAACACTTTAGAGTTCAAACTCTTTTCTGTGGTACTAGGATTGCCAACTCTCTCTAGTCTCCTGGAGTTCTCCTGATGACTTTAGATATTCAGATATTTACTCATTCATTCAACAAATATTTACTGAGTACTTACTGCCTGCTAAGTATTATTTTTGGCCCAGGGGATGTAATGATGAATCCGGCAGATTAGGGCCCTGCTCACATTTTTGTGGCTCCTATGACTGTTTCTTCAGGGATCTTGTTGAGTGAGGCTTGGCTTGATTTGGGGAGGAGACTTCCTTTAGTGATACCCATTCTGGGAAAGAGTAGGGTGCCACCCTAGCAACAGGTCCCTTACCTGGTTATAAAGATGGAAGATGCTTTCCAGAGTGGCCATACATCTTGGTTTGCCTGTGAAATTCCTGCTTACCACCTGCTGTCCTGGCCAAACTATTGATGGAAGTCTTTTTTTATGCTCTAAGATGTCTCTCTTTGGATTATAGATTATAACCATTCTGATGGTGACCCTCCCCCAGCACATTCTCAGAACAGGAAGGTAGTGCTACTAATGGTGCTTGTACAGGGCAGGCCACTTCCTTTGCTTTCACACCATTCCTGAACCAAGCAGGGATGGAATTAGTTTGCCATGTTATCTGAATCTCTAGCAAAGAAACTTTGTGCCTTTATGGAATTCCTTCCTGAGATTCCAGCAGTCTTGCTCCTGGTGGGCTGTTTACTCTTGCTGGGTTGTGAGTTCACCCAGGTGATCCTCCTCTGCAGGGTCCAGGAAGGCCAGGGAATAATTCTGTTAGGACTCTCTCCTTGGATGTGGGCAGAAGTACTAGCAAGGCTGGTTTCTTCATTTTCAGAGAATGGGGCTCTGATCCCTGGAAACAGCTGAGACTCTGGATGGAGTGATTTTGAAATCACTTGCAGAGTTAACTCATGTTTCTTGGTTTAAGATTTTTTTTTTTGGCTGCACTGGAGTTTGAACTCAGAGCCTCAGGCTTGCTAGGCAGCCATTGTTACTGCTTCAGTCATTCCCCCCAGCCCTAACTCACATCTTTTGGGCCTTTTATGACAATGCAGTCTGAACAAAACTTTCAAATACCAGGGAGTTTCTTCAGAGATCATGTTATTTTGGGCAGAATTTATTGCCAAGGCTGGAGAGGGCAGTGACTGCACTGGCTGGTGCCATGGTCCCCAGTTTCACTTCCCTGATCTGGAGAAGATAAAAATGGTGCTCAATTCCAGAAAACTGTAGCCTTTGAAACCATATCATCTTATCCACAAATGTATGGTTGGCAAAGGGAGAAGCCTCTCCTTGGGGCTGCTTTTACAAATAGGAGCAAGCAGCAAGAAGAGGAGGTAAGACCAGGTTTAGGGTAAGGGAGGGGGCGTTGCTCCGAGGGCAGTGACTCTGGATGATGGTGCCTCTGGATGGTGGTGAGATTGGAGATTTTGCCCTGTGGTGGGGTCCAGCCTTACATAGATGCCTTCAGAGTATAGAACTGATACCAGAGGCTACTGGGATATAGGGAAGGAAGCTAGACTTAAGCCAGTTGTGGGAATACAGGATTTGAGATTTAGTGCTTTTTTTTTTTTTTTTTTTTTTTTTGGTATTTACATTTGAAATGTTTTTCTCATGTAGAAAATGTAAAGAACTGCAATAAAACGAATAACTTTTACTCTCAAACCTATTATCTGGTAATAACAACTAAGAATATATTGGAGTCTCTTTCTCTTTCAAACTAATAATTTTATATATGATGTTTCTGAAAAAAACATAGGTTCATATTGTGCATGCTCTTTTGTGATGGTGGTTTTTTTTTGTTTTATGTTTTTTTGGCAGTATTGGGGTTTAAACTCGGGGCTGAAACTAGGTCTGTCTGGTTCAGTTAACTGCCAAGAAGTTAAGGCAGTTGGTTGTCTATGTGCTGGAAGAAGTCAAGGTTAATACACTGCAAGACACAGGTAGAAAAGTCCTGAGAGGTAGTTGAGAAAAAGACGGATGGTGAGATAATTTTGTGCCCCAATAATGATTTGTAAAAACTAAATTCCCTGCTGTATTTTATGCTATGAACAACTCTAAATTAAGTTATAACTTTCTGAGATTTCATGTTGTAAAACTCTTGTGATTGCATCCACCAAGTGCAAGGTGGGATGACACACAGACTGCAGTGGAGCAGAGACTGCACAAAGGCAAGGACTCTGTTCCTGTGCTGAGCACAGTGCATTCAGGTCTTCTTGAAGGGCAGCTGACAGAACAGGTTTAGAGCCATAGAACTGGATTTAGATCCTGGCTTTCCACTGACTAGGGCCTGTTGGTGTCCAACCAAAGTGTCTTAATCACCACTACTTCTTCATCTGTAGGACTGGTCGTAATATCTTCACAGAGTTGAAAAGAGGATTGAATGAGTTAAAGTGATTAGCAGGTTGGCAAACAATCAGTAGCTACTTTTTGGGGGGGGAGGTAAACTCTGGGCACCTAACTAAGCCCTCAAAAATACTGTTTCCCATGAGACTAGAAATTCCTGCCTGTCCGGCAGACAAGGGACCAGTATGGAACCCTCTAGCATTCTTGTGCTAACCAAAGGGTATGTGGAAATCAGACTTGAAAAATTGCTGGTGTCACAGATCCGTCATTGTCCTCAGCAAGTTCTGTTTGATTCTTTGTGTGTCTCTAATGTGAATTCCCAAGATAGATGTCTCATCTATATGCTCTTATGATAGAAATCCAACACAAATAAGCTTAGGCAAAAAGAGGGGGGATTTATTGGCCCATGTAATCCAAGGGTAGACTTCAGGCTTGGCTAAATCCAGGAGTCAAATAATATAGTCAAGATATTCTCTTTTCATTTCTCATTTTTTCCCATTTGAGCTACTCTTCCACTATAAATAGGTATTATTGTGTTCAGGGAAGCGTTCTATGTACATGTTCTCCCAGATTGGCCTCTCTAGAGAAAAAAGGCAACTTTGCAATCCAAATATCCATAAGCCAGTTCCCAGGGAGGATTATAATTTATTATCTGATAAATAAATGTATTTCCCATATCTGAATGAGTGCTGGTATTTGTCTTCTTTTGTTTAGTACTGTATTGCTAGGACATACAACACTATAAGGTATATAGTAAGTGCTTAAAAATATTTATTGGCAAGCTAAATTTTGGTCATTACTCACTCCATATCTAGGGGAACAGGGCTTGCAATTAAAAAGAGATTGCTGGGAAAATGTCCTGAGCAGCCACAAAGCATTATCAGCTCTGTGGTCTTGGAACCATAGCAAGATTTATTCAGGTAGAGGAAAGGCAGATTCCCAGACATGAGGGCCAGTTTGTATAAAGGGTGGTGGTGAGAAGATGCTGAGGTCACAGGTAATAGGTATAGATAGAATACTGGACTACATGAAGACAGGGTGGGAAGTGGACTTCTGAAGGCCTTGGGGCTGGATCTTTTCTATTGCTTTGGTTCCTTCAGCTCCCTCTCCACACCTGTTCTCACTCTGTCCTCTGCTTCTTGTTGGATCTCAATTGCATGCCCTCTTACTCAGGAGACTGCTGGATATGCTCCAAATCAATGGTCTCTTTTGTTGCCTGGTTTTTAATTGGGTTTAGCCAATCTGGGTAGGTGGTAGGAGATGGGAGAGAGGGAGGAGAATAAAGTTGGCCTCTTATTCCTCTGGCTTCCTCACATAGGGCTGTCTTGTTTTCATGATGAGGTAAGAACAATACTTTAGGCTATAAATTTATTAACTTTGATAGCAATTTGATAGAGATTTTTAATCTGTGGAATCTAATAAAAAATGTGAGCTTTTATGATATGCATGTTTTCTAATCATTTTTTATTATATTTTACAAAAGAGAACTTTTACAAATGTACCCCCCAGCAAACAATGAAAAAAAAAAAGTACTAGTCTGAGAAATCCAAATAAAGCTGGGCCTGGTGGTACAACCCATAATCCCATCACTCAGGAGGCTGAAGAAAGAGAACCACAAGTTTAGGGTCAGCCTGGACTACAAAGTGAGTGCCAGGCCAACTCAAGCTTCAAAGTGAGACCCTGCCTCATAAAAAAATCCAAACTAAACAATAACAAATATCCAGATCTGGTCCTTCAGTAGAGATTGTTGGAGAAGCCCTGCTGCGCACAATTCTTTTGGGTTCTGGTAAGAGTTTCCTGTATTTTGATGAGCTAGGGGTGGAAATAGTTCCATAGCTGTGAACCTTGAGCAATGGCTCTCTGCCTGTGTTTCCCATGAACCTGGGCCCCACATTGGTGAATTAACCCATTTGGAATTATTCTAATTTAACTGGTCATCTTCTTCTTCTTGGGACCCCAATTGGCATAAGCCAACCTAGAAGTGATTTAGCATCACTAAAGGAGTGTACAGAGGACTGACAAAAGATTGTAGGATCATAAGTGAGGTATGGATTAAGTATGGCAAGGGCCAACTAACTTCAAGATGATGAGTAATTAAGGGCTTGAGCTCAGGCAATGGTACTGAGAGAAGGGAGAAATTTACAGAAGTTTTGGGTATACTATCAGTTGGGAAAACAGAAACCACTGTATAAACAGCTTAACCAGAAAGAAATTAGCTTTTGTAGAAGAATTGTGATCTATGAAAAAATGCTGTTTTTATAAATGAAATTTTATTGGAACAGTCATGCCTATTTATTTATGTGATGTTAAGACAGAGTTGAGCAGTTGTGAGAGACTATATGTGGTCTGCTAGGCCTGAAATACTTATTATCTGACTCTTTACAGAAAAAGCTTGTGTACTACTGGAATATTGGGAAGTATGTGCTTCCAGAACCCTAGGAACAAGAAATATGAAAAACTATTGATTTTCCAAGGGCTAGGGATAAGGCTCAAGTGGTAGAGTGCCTGCCTAGTAAGCATGAGGCCCTGAGTTCAAACCCCAGAACCTGCAGAAGTCCTGGAATCACTGATTGTGGCTGTTGGTTACATTAAAGTGGATGACTGCAGGTTACTGAAGAGCTGATCTTAGTCTTTTGTTTTCCAGTTTGGCACCAATGCACCTCACTAGCTGATTCTAAATGAAACTGCGTATATTTGCCCAGCTATTTCTGTTGATACAGAGCTGAATGTAAAAGAGGCAGGGATAGGGAAGTCTAGAGCTTTGGGAAGACTAGTGAGGATAGTGGTTTTGAGGCTGGAATGACTCCTAGACTTGGATGGCTGTGATAAATTGTGGTGTCACCTCTGGAAAGGAAGAGGAAAAGAAAAGAAGATTCTGTACTGCAGGGGAGGCTATCGGGAGGTTAGATTCCCAAACCCCTGCCAGCATTGGAGTGGAGTCATGGCCATCTGCCCCAATGGGGTTTTACTCAGATTTATTCATAGAGTAAAACCATAAAGTACTTTTGACATAAAAAGAAATTGGTATTCCAAGCCCTGGGATTAACAGCTCTTGCTGTGGATGATGAATATCCAGCTTGCAGGCTAAAGCAGTTGTAAATCTTCCTTCGGCAGGTTTAAAGGACACCGTCCAGGAATTGGAAAATACTGGCAATCTCTCTGGCTCAGGGGCCCTGTTGGCAGGCACAGTCTTTTGGATGGCAGAGAGAGGCCAGAGGCAAAGCAACAAAGTGAGAAGAGCAGACTGGAGGGAAGGTGGTGGAAGCAGAGGGTGGAGAAGAGAGAAAGGGGTGCCCTGGGGATGGGCCTGATAAAAAGGTGACATGTCACTTAATCCCTATGTGGGATCAATGGGAGGATGTAGGGAAAGGGCATTGGGACAATATCTACTGATACCCTAGGCCTCCATTCCCACCTTGCTATTGTCAGTCAGGGCTCCCCTTCCCTCCTAGAGAAGGTTCCTTACTCTTGACTGGGTACCATGCTCTGAAATTTGACAAGACTGTGGCAGAAAATTCTCCCCCACCCTTTACACCTATCTGAAAAGAAACTCAAGGACCTCAATTGTATGACTTTTCACTCTACAGATGATGTGTCAGCTTGATTTCCCCCATTTGGTAACATCAGCTCACAATCCATCTTTACACACTACTATGACACCTTGCATTCAGTTACTAAGTAGTTGTCTTCTAAGTGAGGGATGTCTTTTAGTAGTTTTTATGTGCAAATACAATATTTCAGGTGCTTAAACATTAATAACTATAAAATCAGCATAGTAATTGCTGTGGGCTGAATGTTTGTGTACTATCCCCCCCCAACTCAGTTTGTATACTTCAATGTGGGTGCCTTTGGAGATAGGGACTTTACAGAAGTAATTAAGGTTAAGTGAGGTTGTAAGGTTAGGACTCTGATCTAATGATTAGTGTCCTTACTACAAAAGATCCCAGACTTTTCTTTTTCTCTCTATGCCATGTGAGGATGCAGTTAGAAGGTGGCTGTCTGCAAGGCAGAAAAAGGGTCCTTACTAGAATCCAGTAATGCTGATGCCTTGATCTTGGACTTTTAACCTCCAGAACTGTGAGAAAACAAGTTTCTATTGTTTATTAGTCAGCTTTCTGCCACTGTGACACAATACCTGTGACAATCAACCTTTAGGAAGGAAAGATTTATTTTAGCTTACAGTTTCAGAGGCTTCAGTCCA